AGCTGTTGCATAGCGGCCAAAACAGCTCCATGAGGCGCCCCCAACCGCGGTGCCCAGTGGGAAATTAGACCCGCGGAAGCACGCCCAAAGCGTGGACGACTGGAGGTGGCCATCAATTTGATCATGTTTCGCCGCGACGAGGATGGCCATGACGTGCCCTGGAGTGCCGATCCAGGGGCTGTTCAGCTGGCGTGCAGCGGCCGGGGCTGAGATGCTGGGTGTCTGGCGCTCCCCCTGACGAAGTTGTTGTTTTCGGCCGGTTGCTACGACCCCTCGTTTCGGAGATGACGGGGGCCGCGGCGAAGCTGCAGGCGGAGGCCAGCCCAGGCGCGGGCCACCCGCTCGGTCGGTTGGTGCCTCGCCTTCCTCCTTTTTTTTTACGCGTCGTGCTGCGCGCGTGCTCCACGTCGTGCCCCCTCGCTGGCCTCTTCCGGCCGCCCCCAGATCGAGCCCCCTGGGATCTCTGGGGGCGCGCTTCAGCTGCCACCTCGGGGCATCCGGGCATGGCGGCGCTGTCTCGCCCGAGAACTTAGCTGAGGCCGGCAGTGGCGGAGAAGGGCGGACACCGCCCGCATGGCCCACGCTTTTGCGTCAGGCGCGCTGCATGATTTACTGCGTGCGCTCATGGACATCAGGGTTTCCTCCTCCTCCTCCTCCTTTTCCTCTCTTGTCCTGCCTCGCCATATTCCTCCCGACCTTGTCCCTCCTCCCTTCCCCCCCTCCCCCATCCTACCCCTCCTCCTCCTCCTCCTTCTCCTCCTCCTCCTCCTCTTCCGAATTGCTCCCTCGCCACTGCCCTCCCCCTCCGCCTCCACATCTCTTTCCCTTCTCCCTCCTCCTCCTCCTTCTCCTCCTCCTCCTCCTCCTCCTCCTCCTCCTCCTCCTCCCACTCCTCCTCTTCCTCCTCCCGCTCCCCGCGGCCAACTGGCTGATTTGTATCACAGGTGCATCCCGCACCGAAGGAGGGAAAACGCGCAGCCAGGGTGCCTCCCCCCACACCAGGTATTTGGGGCCGCAGTGCCCCCCGACAGGGGCGATGGTGCATCAGTTGAGTTTGCGCAAGAAGAGATTTGTATTCACTTCTGCTGTGCAAGGTGCGTTTCCATATGGCCTCGCCCCGTGTCGCCCGCTGAGGCGCAGGAAACCCAGTTCGACACTGCGCTGCTAGGTTAACATCGTTGTATACCTGCTGGGGCAGCGTGTGACTGTTTGGGGTACGCTCTACGGCTTGAGTGTCTCGTAGGGTATGGAAATTGATGAACATCGCCCCCTCCAGCAGCGAGCAGTTCATTGAGAGGCTTCGTTGGTATCGATCGATCGTTCGATGGCCCGACCAGCGCGTCCAGGTCATCGCCCTGCTGTTCTCTCAGTTTGGCTTCGAGTCGTACCCTGCCGTGGAGGGCGGCCGCCTGACCGAGCATGCTAACTCGTTCGAGATTCGGTTCGTCACGGAAGTTTGGAAAGTAGAGCCGCTCACAGACTACGAATATTGGAAACGTTCATGGGGGTGTTGGGAACATGCACGACTTTTTTGACGATGATCACGTCAATCTCAAGTTCTGGCCTTCTGGATGGCGTGCATCGTTACGAGTGTACCACGGTTGACGTTGACATAAGCGGGGCGATGTTCTTGTCTCACGCCGCTATCATCGCACGCAAGACGCACGCGATCGGGGGGTCGCATGGTGAGTTCTCTTTCTGCGCCCGTTGTGTGGTTACCAATCAGTGCCCTGCGTGTTGGTCTAGCTTCGTTTTCCAGAAAACCGCCAAGGCCCATCTGTGTCGTGTTTTTCGCAGAGGGTTGTGTGCTGCTGAGACTGCTCATTCCATGCGTCCCGTGGTTTCTCCATAACTTGTGTGTCCAGTCTATGAGTTCGAACGCTTCGCCGATTCGGTCCAGCTCCAGGAGCACATGCGTGCGCGGCGTCTTCCTTTCGCCCCCGCCCGTGACGGCCAGGCCGATGTCCAGTTCACCCCGGCGGCCCAAGGGGGCCCTCCCCAAGCCCCAGGCCGAGGCCGAGCCAGAAGGCGCCCCAGCCGCCGGCACGGCGAAACCGCCCCGCAAGGGACTGCCCGCAGGCGAGGCAATGGGCTCGGCGCCAGACGCAGCTCCTGCATCAGGCGCGGGGGGGGGGGGGGAAAACCGCGCGGTGAAGGACATGGGCTTCAACAGGAGGCTAATCTGATCAACGCGCTCATCAAGCAAGCCTTCACGACGGCGCAGATGGTCAGATACCAGTGGACGGCGGGAGTGGGCACCTATGTCACGGGCGCGGACGCCCCCGAGACCGTCGCCGCTCGGGAGAGCGGGGCGACATATTCTCAGAAAGTCTAAGCCCGACGGAAAGGCCACACCAGCTGGGTCCTCCTCGCCTGCATCTTTCCGATGGCTTTCTCGTCCAGTTGCTCGAGCGTGGGCTCGCGATGGGGCAGCGGACGCACGGCGTGCTCAAAGACTGGCACACCAAGATGTTGTCGGAGGTGCAGCAGGAGGACCTGTACGACATGCTACGGCTCTGCAGGGCGATGACATGTTTCGGCCAGAAGAAGCGCGCAGCGGGCATCTTGATGCGCGAGGTTCCCAAGGATAACGCATCGCCAGAGTCCGACAAGCAGCCGCTGCCTTCTCCCACTCTCTTCCGCAGCTTGCTCCAAAATGCTCTGCACGAGACGCGCGCGCGGCGGGCTTTGGGCGCGGCGCCGCCAGGAGCCATGGGGTATATACTTCAGAAAGCAGTCGACGGCAAGGCCGACAGGCAGTAGTGAACGTCGCATAGTGTGGAGAGCTTTGCGCGCGATGCATGCGTTTCGCCCATGGCCGCTGTCGAATCCCAGTTTGCTTGGGCTCAATGTCGCCACCTTCGCGACCTGTCTGCCAAGGGCCCTTGAGGTTGCACCTCTGATGGTTCGTGGGTGCATCTGCAGGACAGGAGTGTCGGGGTGAGCTGGATCATTGAGAGGGTAATGGCTGCTTATGTCCCGACGAATGGGTGGGCAGCGGCCGCTTCTTTTCGGCGGGTTGGGTCGGTAGTGGTTGCTTCCTTCCGTCAGTGGCCGCTTACACCCAGCGGATTGGGTGGGAAGTGGCGGCATTATTTCCAGATCGTGTGGGTCGTGGTGGCGTCAGTTCCAGTCCACTGGGTGGGTCGTTGCGGCAGCGTTCCCAGCTTGGTTGGGTAGTGGCAGCGTTGCTTCCAACGTGCTCGTGGGACTGCGTCGTCCGCTGCATCGTCACCGGGCTCTGCGACTCTTATTAATTGGGGCCCATGATCTGCGATGTGTACGTGTAGGCTCCGCGCTGTCTCCCACATTGCAGGAGGGCCCTTGAACACCCGTTACCTCATCGCTTGCTGGGTCCTTGGGGGGTCTTCCGCCGCTCCTGCTGCTGGCCCCTGCCATTCCCCGCTTCTTGCCTCGTGCCTCCTGGCCCCCTCGCTTGTCGTCGGCCCTAAGGGTTTCATTCGCGCAGCCGCCTGGCCAGTTTCCCCTCCTGTTTCGTGTCTCGCTCGTACCTGCCGCCTCGGTGAACGCGCCCCTGGGCCCAGCTGTTCGGTCCGTCAGGGCCCGCTGGGCGTTTCTCAATCCACGTGGCATCCGAATTTAGTCCGACGGGCGCTCTCTCATTATTGCTCCGTGTTGGCAGCCCGAAGTCGGAGCCTCTCGGATGTCGCGTTTCTCACCCATATCAGATTGGGTCGCTTGCAGTAGTTGCGGCGGTACTTGCCACAGCACCGCTGCCGCAGCCTGCCGCCGCTTTGCAGAGACAGGGCGAGAGCTGTCGTGCCTTATCTGATCTTGCCCCCCCGTCCTTCCTTCATGTAACTGCCTCCTCCCCATCGCCCCCCCAGGCCAGTCGCGGGCCGCGCGTTTCGATTGGCATCTCTTCGCCTTTTCATGATCACGGTTCTTAGAAGTTGTCAACCGTTTCGAATATAGATGGCTGGCAGTTTTCAACATATGGCGTTCGCTTTAGCGCCGCGCACATTCGTTGTACACGTGTGCAGTTTATTCACGGATGGAGGGTGGGTAGTTATCGCACGGTGCTTCTCGCACTAGCGCCGCGCACAGTCGTTGTTCCAATGCAAGATGCAAGGTTCTCACATATGGATGGTTGGTGATTTCAGCATTCGGTTCTCGCTTTCACGCCGCGTACACCCGTTTCTGAACCACAGGCAGGAGATTTGCGGGTTGGTGGCGGCTCTTCTTCAAAATGTGACTCAAGTTTCAGTGCCGCGCATGTTCGTGAAACCAACATCGACAATATTTCACCGATTGAGGGCGGGCCGTTTTCACAACGTGGTTTTCATTTTCGCACCGCGCGCATTCGTTTTAAGCATGCAGCGGCTTCGCGGATGGAGAGCGGGTGGTTTTCAACATGTGGTTCGTTCCAGTGCCGCGCACGTTGCCCCAGAAGTAGTGAACAGTTCACAGATGGAGGGCGGCTATTTCTAAACATGTAATTCTTGCCTCAGCGTCGTGTGCATTCTTCCTGAAAGTTGCAAATGTGTCCCGCCTTCTCATGGGTAACGTATCAGACATGTTGTTCTGGGGTAGTTCAAGGTTGCCAAGGTGCAACATGTACAGTGATTCGAGGTGTCGACGTCTCACGAATGACATTCGGGCGCGAGTCGGGATCGTCAAGACGCAACAATCAGGTATAATCGCGGCGTTGGAGCCCTGAGAATGTTGCTTTGGCAGAATTGACGATTTTCGAGTGAATGTGTCTCCCAACCGGGCACTTCCTTCATGCTTGTAGGGGCCTGTTAAGGGGAACTTGGAGGGACAGTTTTTCCAACGTCGTTGATGGGTCTTGGGTTTGCGCAGGTCATCCATCCTTCTCCTGTTGCTCCTCCTCCCCCTTCGGCGGAGCGCGTGATGCAAAACCCCGCGGCGAGCAAGCAAGCTTCCCTCCTCCCCCTCCCTCCCTTTCCCTCCCCCCCCCTCCCTCCTGTGCACGGGGGGCTGAGCCAAGGGGTCCTGCCCCCGCTGCCGCTCCGAAGGCGGCTCGGCGCGGCCTACGAGGCGCTGAGCGCCGAGCACGACCAGTGGCGCGCGGACTGGCAGAGGCTGTCCGAGTTCGAGCGGAACCTCGCCAGGCGGGGCGCCCCGCGGAGGGGGCCCGCCTCGGGAGCCGAACGCCCCCAGAAGCCGGGGCAGGAGGAGGAGGGAGGAGGGAGGAGGAGGAGGGAGGAGGGAGGAGGAGGGAGGAGGAGGAGGGAGGGAGGAGGAGGGATGAGGAGGAGGGAGGAGGGAGGAGGAGGGAGGAGGAGGGAGGAGGGGGGCACTCTGCGGTGCAGGGTGCGGCAGGACAAGACGAGCATCGCAGCACGCTGCGGCCTGGGGCTGCAGGCTCGTCGGGCGTGCGACCGTCCCCTGAGATCCGATGCCCCGGTTTATCCAGGACGACGAGGTTCCAGGGAATCCAGTTTTATTGCCCAGAGCCGGTGCTTCGTCTTGTGTTGCCTTTTGACGGCCCTGGGGCCCAGCGAGGGCCCCGCGAGGCCGAAGCCAGTGTGAGATCTCAGCATTGAGGTCTGGTGGCGTGGCGACGTCTTGGTTTACCAGAGTGAGCAGCGCCAAGAGTATTCGATATCCGATTTTCAAAATTCAGGGGTCGAAGGTGCCCACTACGTGGGCGGACTTGCCTGGCTTGTGCGTTATTTGACAGGTCTACCCCAAGCCTTTGACTCCCGCCCTCTTCGTCCATGAAGGACACAACTACGTTTGGGGGGGGCTTCAACCTCTACGCGTGTCTGTGGTGGCTGATTCTTCAAGTCAATCTGCGCGCGGCTCCCTGGCCCATCTGCTTTCGCCTCTTCTCTAGCCCGACGATTTTCACCGCTGGTTATGCGCGGGACTGGCGCTGCCGCGCTCACGCCTGAGTTGGCCCTGCGCCCTGATGCGTGCACGATGACCCACACTGCTGCCCGCGCCGTCTATTCCTCTGCCGCTGCTTGCGCTTCCTTTTTCGCAGGAACGCGGACCGTGTCCCGCCGCATTCTCTTTCTGGAGTGTCTTGCTGCACTCGCGCCGTTGGTCCAAGGCGAATGCTCGCCCGCGTCACCTTGGTCGTCTCTGGAAAGTGCGTGTGCGTGTGCTACATGTGTGTCTGTCTTCTGTGGCTTGGCCGCGCCGCTGCCTCCCTTTTCTTCGCTTCGCCCAGTGCCTTCGCCACTGGTCCTGGTCTGATCAACGCCCGCATCCTTTTGGTCCAGTGTGGAAGAAGGGTGTGTGTGTGTGTGTGTGTGTGTGCGTGCCACGTGGGTATCAAGTGTGCGGGTGCGCGTATCATGTGTGTGTGTGTGTGTGCTCACGCGCGTGCGTGGCGGAGAGCGCAGCCTTTTGCCGAGCGCATTTGTCATGAGCGCGCCTGCAGTTCGCGTCTGCGCGTCCCGCCCGTGCACACCAGCGGCCGGTGCAACGCTGCGGGGTAAGGTGACAACAAATCGTGTGCGCGTGTGTCTGTGTGCGTGTGTGCGTGTGTGTGTGTGTGCGTGTGTGTGTGAGAGAGAGAGAGAGAGTGTTTAGTGCGAGATTGCGTGTGTTCAAGCTCGTGCCTCTTCTTTAACTACTCGTGGTGCTCTGGGAGGTTTAGTGGGTTGCCGCATCTTGCAAGCTGCGTTGACCTGCATGTGTCCCGCTTGTTTGGATCCTATCGGGACGCTTGCGCAACAGTTGTGTTGGTGTGTGTATGTGCGTGTGTGTGTGTATGTGTGTTTGTGTGCGCTTGTGCGTTCGTGCGATTGGTTCGGCGTTGCCATGATTCTTTATAAAGCCAAAAAGCATCAAGAAGTTCGCGCCCTGTGCGTATTATGTCGCGACTGCGGTGCCACATCGCCCGCGGGAGAAGTAGCTCGTACGTTTGTACGTGCGCGCGGCTGTGCGCGCGGCTGTGGCTGTGCGCGTGCCGCGCGCGAGCTCGCACCGAGTGCAGTCGCGCCGAAGTATAAGATCGACGTCGGGTCGGGGAGGGTGCCCTAGTGTTCCTCGTGTCTGTTGGATGTTCTCGTGCACCCTGGGGAGGGCACCCTGGGATGTTGTGTGTTTGCTTTGGTCGACAGAGGGTCTCACGTTCTCGCGGGATGCTCTTTTGGGCCCGGCCCGACTGTGCGCTCCCACGACGGCCCCGCGGCCCGCAGCCGGGCGGGGAGCGGGCGCGCCAGCTCATTGATGGGGGGGCGACGGGTGGGAAGGGCGGCGAGGGCTGCCGAACAAAAAGGGGCCCCTTTGGGGCCCCGTCGGCCTGCAGGGCCCAGCAGGCCGCGCTGCTCCGAGGACGACGACGCCGACGACGACGACGACGCCGACGACGACGACGACGACGACGACGACGTCTACGAGGACGACGAGGACGACGACGAGGAGGACGACGACGACGAGGACGACGACGAGGACGACGACGAGCGCCAGGCCGTGCTTCTCCGAGGGCGCGGCCGCGAGGCCCGCCTGCCTGCCCCCCGGGGGGCAGGGCCTGCCCCCCGGAGCGGGCACGGCGGGCCTCGCCCTCATCGCCGAGATGAGGCCCGCCGCTCGGCCGGGGCACCTCCATACCTCCCTCCCCCCTCCCCTTTCCTCCCTCAAAGCCTCCTCCCTCCTCCTCCGCCTCCTCCTCCCCCTCTCTCCTCCCTCCTCCTCCTCTCCTCCCTCCTCCTCTCTCCTCCTCTGCCCTCCGCCTCCCGCTCCCTCCCTCCCTCCCTCCCTCCTCCTCCTCCCTCCTCTCCCCGGCCGCGGGCCGCCACGGCCGCGGCCGCGGGAGCCGCTCTGCCCGCCGGCGAGCGAGGGGGGGGGGAGTGAGAAGGAGAAGTCTCAGAGGAGGAAAAGGTACCCATACCTCTACCCGTTCCTCGTTTTCCCCCTTTCTGGGCCTCCTCGGATCGGAGGCCCTCGTCGCCACCGCTGGATTCGCCTCGAAATTCTGGTCAGACCGCACCCTGGGAGAGGTCCAGGGAGTGGCGGTATCGGTGCCTTTTGGCTTCCCCAAGTGAGAAGGAGAAGTCGGCCACGGGCAAGGGGGGGGTACGTGGGAGGGGGGAAGGGCTTGGAAGAAGCACCCCTGCTCCTCAGAGGCGGCGGGCCTCGTCTGTGGGCGCAGGTCCCCTGCGCCTTCCGAGAAGCAGCCTCCTTCTAAGAAGCCTTCGCCCCTCGCACTGCCCCCCTCTGCGCGCCGCCAGAGAAGGCCCTCTCAGATGGCGGCGGAGCCCTGTCGCCTTCTTAGAGGTTTTTTTGTGTCTTCGGGGAAGGCTCGGCGGGCTTCTCAGAAGGCCAGGGAACTTCCGAGCCTTCTGTCATCGCACCGTTTCGGGACTCCAAAGTTCTGAGGAGGCCGCGGCGTCCGAGACGTCTTCAGAGCCGCCGGATCTCAGAGATTCCAGATTTTTTCCTCACCCGAACTTATACTCGGTGTTCACGTCGACTAGACGTAAGAGTGACCTTCCGCCGGAGTGTTCTCTGGTGAGGGCCCAACGGGGTCCCCCGATCACCAAACGCGATGCGATAGTAGCGTCTTGCGCGCCTGGGTTTGGCCCCCCCGCGGCCCCTCAAAACGCTCTGCACCGAAGGCCACTCTTGCCCAGAGTCTTCCGTGCGTGTAGTCGATGTTCACCGTCGGGCTGGTGTTGGGGCTGGACAGAACCCCCAACAGTGACACGTCGATTAGTGAATTGTCCGTTTTCGGTTCTCGAGAGGGCGCCGTGGCCGTTATTTTTCAGGTTTGCGCCCGCCAGGTTTGGGCCTCAGGTCGTTTGCACTAAACCACGTTGTGCTAAAGGGGGGTCTGCCCATCCCCGATGGTGGTCAGGGGGGTGACCTCAGCGGGGGGTGAAGAAACTTACCCCCAGGGGGCCCTCCTGTCATGGCTCCCCTCTTGCAGCCAGCAGGGGCCCCGAGGGGCCCCGCAGGGCCCCCTCGAGGGGCCTTCTCTCTTCACCCCCTGTGTGGGCCACCGCGCACGACCGCCCTGCCGGCACGGTTCGGTCGGTTCGGTCGCGTCGCAGTGCGTTGCGTTCGGTGCGATGCGGTCGGTTCTGGTGTCGTCGTGCGGCGCTGCGACCTGTTGGGCTGCTCTCGGCCTGTCGACTTCGGCCGGTTTCGGTGTCTTTGCTGTCGCCGTGCACGTTCTGGACTTGACGTCGGCATCCGAGTGAGCCAATGTGCTCCCAAGTCGGTCTCGCGAATCGACGTGCGATGTGCCATATACCGTCAGCGCGCATGCTTGAATGATGTACACCGCAACTTCATGACAGTGCACATAAGGAGAATGCTTTTCCTTGTTTCTTATCTTTCCTCCTCCCTTCTAATCTTCTCTTTCCTGCCTCTACCTCTTCTCCCTCCTATCCCTCAGCCCTTTCGTCAGAGAATTTCGGTCCGTTCGGTGGACGTCGATGAGCTGTCCCGCCTGGCCGGGTCCACTCGCCATGTGGTGCCATGAGCGCGTGGAGTGCACGTGGCAGCTTTCACTGTAAAGGGCGCTTTGCTGAGGGCGTTCAGCCAGATTTCGAGAGTAAGCACGGTCGTTTCGCGTAGCGTCGATGCGGCGGGCACCCGCGCCGCGACCGTTCAAGTTTGAAGGTGGAACGCTGCCGGTGGCCAAGAGTCGACCGGTAGGGGGCCACTTGCACGATCGATAGGCCGCGATCGTTCAGACTTGAACGGCCCACGCAGTGTCGGAATCCAGCGCGCAGGTCATCACCGCACAGCGCCGTGGATCAACATCGCGACCGAACGGAGCGTTCGGTCCCACCGCTCTGTGGGATGTCTTGAGCTGTCCCGACCCCGCGTGGGCGCCTGGGCACGAGGCGGGGGCGAAGTCGGCAGTCGTTTCTTGTTTACTCACGGCACAGATATGAGGCCCCCTGCAGATCCTTCGCTGATGCTGGTGCTGCTAGTGCCGCTGCCGCTTCGCCGCCGCTGCTGCTGCTACACCTGGCTGTCGTCTTCCTCTTTCTCCTCTCGACCCATCCACCCGTCCTCCTCCCGCTCCTCCTGTTCCTCCACGTACTCCTCGTTATTTCCAGAGTGTTCTCCAGGGGCTCCTGATGTCTCCGCAAGTTCTTGGCTGGAAGCCTTCGGAGGTCTCCAGAGTCTGTCCATAGGTCGTACAGGAGTATGGTGTAAATGGGTGTGGTGTCAGGGTTCCACCTTTCCATGTTACCCACGATGCTCGAACATGTAATGCATGATGATTTCAAACACGTTGGCTGTGGAACGACCACGTCAAACAATGTCAGCATTCTTCATTGCAGATATCCCAAATAACCACCCTCCAACCTGAAAGACGACAGAACGCGAGATTCCAGGACGTCCGATCGCCAAACTCGTGATCCCACACATTCAGAACAGGAAGAGGGTGACTACGTAATTAAGTATCGCTGCCCTACGTATTGTACAGACAGACTAGTTCTGGGATGGTCAGAAGTTCGAACAAATAGAGTTTCAAGGCACGCCTTGGTTTCAGGACCAAAGAAAGCTACATAGTTCCATACTGTCCAACATAGCAACATACGATTCTGCACGTGCCACAATTTACACACTCACAAAACGTAGTATTGGCATTCATATACGTGCATTCCGAGATGTTCATTCCTTCGTTTGCTAATCCTCTCGTGTTGAGCCCAGTCGCGTTATCGAATGACCTTCGGCCCATCCCGCCACTGTGTCTGGGTTGTCGGTATACAGCCTATTAGATGTTCGTTGGGATCTCGTGGGGAGCCTCTCGGGGGCCTCTTGGAGGCAGTTTTGAGTCCTCTTGGGGGCGTTTCTGGGGCCTTTTCGGGCCTCTTTGGGACCTCTTTTGGGGCCTCTTGGAAGCCTCTTGGGGCCTCGTGGGGCAGGATGCTAGGATTTTCGGTTCGTGTTCCCTCTCTTGGGCCCCTTTGGGGGCCGTCTTTGGGCCCTCTTGGGCCGTCTTGGGCGACTCTTGGGGCGTTCTTAGGCCGTCTTCGGACCCTCTTGGAGGCCTCTTGGGCAGTCTGGGTGTGGTCTTGGGGGCATCTTGGGCCGTCTTGGAGCGTGAGAAAGCCGACAAGGCGAGAACGCCAAAATCGTTTAGTAAACTTTTGACTTTTGCCTCTCGGGTCCCTCTTGGGGGCCTCTTGGAGGCCTCTTGTGGCGTCTTGGAGGCCTCTTAGGCCGTCTTGAGGCCATCTTGAGGCCATCTCGGGCGTCTTGAAGCGATCTTGCAGCGATCTTGAAGCGACTTGGGCCCCTCTTTGAGCAATTCGGGGGCCTCTTTGGGGCCATCCTTGGCTCGATGGGGGGCCCTCCTGGGCGGGGCAGGCCGACGCGAGCGACTCCAGCAGACCCCCGGGCGGGCCTGGGCGCCCGTGCCGATCCAGGCCCCGAAAGACTTACACCTTAGGCGATGCTTAAGAAAACCTAAATTTTCGGCCAGAGTCTCGATTATTCTTAATGTTTCCATGTAAATCCCAAGATTTTGATAGAAATCGTGGGTTTTTGTTCAAGATCTGAGACTATGAATTTCTTAACCCAAGATTTCTTAAGCATTTCGCAGGGTGTACAATTCTGGCTGCAGCAGCAGGGCACCGTCCCAGTGCTGCATGAGCTGAAGAAGACAAACGGACATAAACAGAAGCTTTTGGCGCTCCGCGCGGATTTCCTGGATCCGCGCTGGGCTCCCCCCGGCGGCGCCTCCCGCGCCGCCCCCGGCGCGCTCCGCGCGTCAAGGAGGGGGGGCCAGCGCAGATCCAAGAAGTCCGCGCGGAGCGCCAAAAGTTTATGTTTATGTGTTTGTCTCATCTCCTGGTGAGCCCTGGGGCATTCCACTTCGTGCCAGAGGCACGGTGGCGGATATGCACTGCATAATTTCGGTATCGCTAGAAAGGCGGATGCTAGTGGTGAATGCCGCGGGCGTCGATGCGCTGCGCAGTTCACAGGTCGGTTCGTATGCACATGCGGCGTGATCTTTCCACACCTACTGACGCCACACCCTCTTGCGACCTCTACAAGAGGGTCCCCGGAGGCCGACACATTGCGCACTTTGGTCCTCGATCTCCTCGTTCCTCCTCCGTCGCTCCCTTCTCTCGCCCTCCTCCCCTGCCCAGCGAGCGGGAACATCTACATGTCACGGCCTCGCGTTTCGAGCTCTTCTGCCGCGGCCTTATCGACACGGGTTGGACCCCACGCAGGACGTATCCATGGGATCGCGTGTCCATGCGATCGCGCCTCGGTGCCCCAGACCGCGAGCGCATGGATATGGACATGTGTGCTGCGGTCCGACGATCCTGTCCCGCGTCCCTCCAGGCAAGCTCTTTATCCTGGACAGATTTTGAAGGCCTTGGGCCCCGAATACGGCGCAACGAGACCCATAACATGTCGGAAAATGTCACTCCTCCTTTGCGTTTGTATCCAGACCGCGAGGGCGTGGCTACTGATGCAGACGACAGCCGTTGTTGCCGCGCCGCCGGCCCTGGATTCTCGAGCGCCTATCCCAGCCCTGCGCGGCGGCCGGACGGGCGCGGCCTTCTGGACGATGCCGAGGGGTCGTGTTGCACCCAACGGCGGCACAGCACCCCGAGTCGGAGCCGAAGCTCTGGTCGGCAGGGATTTGGATCGCGCTCTGATTCGCCGAGGGGGCGGTCAGCTTGGTGCGGCACTCGCTAGCTGCTGGCAGAAACACGCGGTATCTAGCAGCACGGGCGCCAAGGTTTGGTGAAACTGCCCGCCCCCGTCACCTGAAGGTCGGCAGGGTGGCGGGGAGGGGGGGGACCCAGAGATGGAGGGTGGAGGGCCACGTCGAGGAGAAGGATGAGGACGACGAAGTGGACGACACCGAGGAGTACGGTGGAGGGTGGATGGGAGCGGGGGACGGGGAGGGGGATGAGGAGGTAACAGAAGGTGGGACGGGGGAGGATGCGGGAGGGGGATGGACGAATGTTTGTGGTGTCTGTGGGCAGGATGATTGGAATGGGGGGAGGGGGAGGAGGAGGGGGAAGTGCGGGGACGAGAAAAGGGAGTACGGAGAGAAATATCAGTTTCGCACGCTGTCGGTGCAAAGTAACAGAGGGTGAGGCATTCTGGTGCGAAGGAAGGGAAGAGGATGAGGAGACCGAGCTTGAGGAATCAGTCAAGCTGGAAAGAGAGGATTAGGAACATGAGAAGGGATACCTAGATGAGAGTCAGGAGAGGAGGAGACAATGCAGATGCAGCAGGAGTGGTCGAGTGGAATGGAATGTGATACGTAGAGAGAGAGAGAGAGAGAGAGAGAGAGAGAGAGAGAGAGAGAAAAAAGAGAGAGAGAGAGAGAGAAACAGACACATATAGTCAGGTTTTTGATCCCACTCGTCGGCCAAGGTCGCTGCGAAAGGCGCACCACCAGACCCGCATGGAGTTCAAGGCCATGCGCGAGGAGCGGCTGGGACAGGGGCGGAGGTGCCCACCAGCAAGCCTCCACAGGCGAATGTGTGCGCCTGACGTTGAGGTGCATATGCCTCCCAGCCCATCCTGCAAGCCGGAGTCTTCTGTCAAGCCCGAGCCTTTTGTAATGGACTGCTTGCAGTGCTGCGTGTGCAGCCTGCAACGTGACGGTGTCTTGGCGCGTCGCGCTGCCTTTCTGGCCCACCACGCTTCGGCGCGACATGGTGATCACGTTCCAGTCCACGAGCGTCGACATCCCGGACCTACCTTTCCTAGCCCCCCGCCGTGTGGAGAGGAGCGACACGTTATCCGCCTGGCACGGCATAGCCATAGCGTGTCGTCGGGGCCGCCGCCGCGGCACGCCAGGCAGAAGCTCTCGACCGTATATCTCCCATCTCTCCAGGAGAGAGGGTCGTTTATGTATTCATTGTTTTGTCGATCGGCGCGGGCCCTCGCACCCCTCTCCCGAGCTTGCTGCGCACGTCCTGATATTACCACCCTGCGCGTCGGGGAGTCGCGCCCAGGGGGCCCGATGATTGTCGACTGGCGCTTGTTTGACCATCCGTCGTTGAAGGTTTTCGGCTCGGTGTCCAGCCCAAGCAGTGAAACCATGTGGGGCGTTTCAAAAAGGGCCTTGCCTTCGCGAGTAGAAGGAGTTGTCATCTCTTCCGCGGTGGAAGGGCGGCGGAAGGTCGGCGGAAGTAAGACGAGGCCGCCTCCGCCGGCGGAAGCCGGCGGAGGGGCGGCGGAAGGTGGTGGAGGTGAAAAATGCGCCCCAAGAGATGAAAGCGTTTTGGGGTGCAGGGTTTCCGAAATCGCCCATGTGTCCTTCAGCGCCGGGCGAGCCCGATACCATAGCCACAGGTGCCGCGTGCGTTCCGCGTTCAGCCAGCGTCGTCACCGTCATCGTTATCGTCATCGTCCTCCTCCTCCTCTTCCTCCTCCTCCTCCTCCTCCATCTCCTCCTCCTCCTCCTCCTCCTTCTCCTCCTCCTCCTCCTCCTCCTGCCGCGCTCCGCGCCTGGATGAAGGGTTGCGCGAGGGGCGGGGCGACCAGGGGCAGCTGCGCGCGGGCCCGCGGCAGCCACCCCAGCACGTTGATTGTCGACGGGGAAGTGCCAGCAGCGCGCGACGACGCCGCGGCGAGCGCGGGGCTCGCGGCTGCCATGGTTGCGCAGGCGGGCGGCGCGCAAGAGCGACCCCTCGCCAGAGGGGCGGCCCGGGCTCCGCCGGCGCTCGCTGCCGCGATGGGGCAGCGCGGGCGCCGCCCCCCCCCCCGCCGCCTTAACGCCGCGCGCCAGGGCCGCAGGATGGGCTCTGCGACCGCAACGAGCTGTCCCAGGAGAGCGCCCTGGGCCCTGGTCGCGCGTGGTCCGCGAAGGCCGCGGTCGCGTTCGCCCCCCGCGTCAATTGGCGCCATTGCCCGGTCGACGCGGCCGCCCCGCGAGCCCCGCCCGGGCCGCGCGGGATCGGGGCATGTCGGCGAGCGCCGACGCGGGGCGAGTATTGATATCGAGCCGCCGGCCGACCGGCCGCAACAGGGAGAATTGTCGTCCGAACCCCCCAGAGGAGCCAGTCGCGCCAGTTGTTCTCCGAGCGGGTCGTCGGGGCCGATGCCCCTCCTCGCCGCCCTCTCTTCCCGCGGGGGGCGATGGCCGCGGCTCGACCGGCCGCGCCTTCTCTGCGCGGGGCGGCGACTGGGGCGCCCTCGCAGACGCCGCGTGCGAGCGCCTCGGTGAGCGCAGCGACCGCGTCTTCGCGCGCGCCGCGGGCCTGCTTGCTGCGGGCGCGACGCAGGTCGCCGCGGCGCCGGCCGCGCGCGCCCCGAAGCGCTCGTCGCAAATGGCTCCCGCGACGGGCCCCCCGAGCCGCGCCGCCGCCAGGCCGTCGCCGCCGCGGCGCTGGCCCTGGAAGACGGACGCTGTGCTGAAGCCTGGCTGCGGGGATCTGCGCCGCGGGGGCGACTATCCGCGATTGGTCCGCAGCGGCCTGGAGACTGCAAGGGGCTACTTCATGGCGGCGCCGATGCGCGTGGGGGGCGAGATGCGCTGCCAGCGCTGGCCGCTGAACCTCGGCCGCGGCAGCGAGGCGGAAAATCCGGAGGACAGGCGCAGCCGCGCCGAGCTCCGGTGCCGGCCGCTGCCTGCATGAGCAGCCTATCGGATCTCCAGCGAGTGCGTCGGTTCGGTGAGCCTCCGGCGCCGTGGCCGCCCGCGCTGGGCGGCAAGAGCCAAAGATTGCGACCCGCCCGCGCCAGGGGCATCCTTCTGCGAAGTGCGAAGCTCGAGTGTGCAGGCATGTGGTGCCCGGCTTAAATCTTCGTCGTGTCGAGGCGGTCCGGCGGACGGCGCGGCCGTCGCGGGCGGGCGTGGCGGGGGCCATGGCGCGTTAGACCGCCGACAGGAGCGCGCGCGCTCGCGCCCCCGATGCTTTCCCACCAGGCAAGGTCCTGGGGGGATTCGCATCAGCTTCGCGGCAGCGCATCGCAGATCGGTTCGTCGTCGCCCCTGCAGGCAACGCGTTCGACGATGCGGCGCTGGGCAAAGACGTGGGCCAACGGCTGCAGCAGTGACGGGGCAATTGCTTGCCTTGCCAGACGACGCGCGCGATTTTCGCTATGCCAGCGCTGGCGCGTTCAAGTCTGATGCGCGGCTGCGCGCCCTGGGAAGCAGCGCGGAGATCCCGCGGGGGGCGGGGGGCGTGCAATCTCTTTGACGATCACCTGTTGCTCGAGGCCGAGCCGATCGTCGTGCGTGTTTGGTTGCTTGCGGACACTTCGCTCGCCCTCCTGCGGGCCGCCTTTGTGACTGCGACGCGCTTTCTATTCTTCCGCGCGTGATTTCCGCGTTGGCCGCTGCCGTTCCTCGGAGGGGCGGGCGTTTCCATGGCTCGGGGTGATTGCGGCCGCCTGTTTCGGTAGGCCAGCCAGCGCGCGCGCTCGACGCCCGGCGCCGCTTCGATCGCAGGGCATTCGCAGGACAGCGATGGAGAACGCCGCGAGCCCTTCCTGCCGCCGCCGGCGCAGGGCAGCGACCCTTCTGCCATGGCCCGCGACTTGCAGGCCAGAGCCACCGCGTAGTGGATACTCCTGGCTCGCAAATTGGGTTGCTTCTCGCGCAGGGATGCACGGTGGCTCGCTTCTGACAGCGCGCCGAGTGCCCTCGGCGCCGATGGGCGATCGCAGCGAAAAGCCGAAGGGGGTCCGGTTTGTGGCCGCGCGACGTCGTGACGCAGGGTTCTCGCTGCGCTCGCGGCGGGACATTGCGCGGCCGCCCAGAGGCCTTTCGGCTGCTGACGGAGGCGATTCAGACAGGGATTGGATCTTTCTTCGATGCCTCTGATGGCAACTGCTCGGGCTTCGGGCGGGCGCGCGGTGCAGCGGCGAGCGGCGAGCAGTTGCAATGGTGCCCTGCAGTGGGATCGCGCCAGAAGACATCGCGGCGCGTCCGCAAGCCGAGAAAGAAATTTCCGCGTGCATATACAGATATATGGTTATCCATGTGTTGTAGCCTTTTATTTGGAAATACATGTATAGGCGAACGCCAGGGTTCCAGTCGCCCAGCAAGCTCCCGAATTCTGAAAACGGCCTCGCGGCGCAGTGCGCTACAGCCGCGGCGTCGCTGTTGCCGAGGCCCGCGCGACGGTGCCGTCCGTGGGCCCGCGAGAGGGCCTGCCCAATGCGTAGATAGCCTCGTGTGCTCGTGGTTGTTAGTTTTTTTGGCGCCTCGTGCCCTTGCGCGGCGTGGCAGCCTTGTTGACTGATGATATCATACGGAGGGGAAGAGCACACAGACACAATTAATCGTCGATTCTCCAGAACATTGGGGAAAGTATGGGAAGTGGGGGGGAAGACAAAAACCCAGAACATATAGGAACATATAGGGGATCCTGTTATTAGTGTGTATTCATGTGTGTGTCCTTGGGCCTCTTCAGTATCATCGAGCCGCACGTAGTTCAGTATTGCATATGGATTTGTTACGGCTTGAACGCGTTCCAGACCTGACCAGTACTTGTTTGTCGCGGATGCGACTCCGCGGGCGCCGACGTCACCGACCCTGCTGGTCGAGATCGATCGCTGCCGATGTCTTCCTTGGCGCTCGCGGCCTCGATTTGCCCCGCGTCGAGGTGCCTTGATTCGATTTGAGCGAAAACAGGAATGCTGACGAGACAGCAAAAGGGTTCTACAGCAATTGCGGCATGTCTATGGTCTGTTACGATGACGGGTCCACAATGGAGGAAAAGCAACCGGCGAAATCAAAACAGACGAAATCCACGCGGGCAAATAAAACAAAGTATCTGATCAAAGCGCGCATGGATCACATCAGGCCCTTCTGTTTGTCCCACGCTTCCTTTTTCTCCTTCCCCCCTATGCCTCCTTCACTCCTTTTGCCCTTCCCGTCATTCCCGACCTCCCTCGTGGATCCTCCTCTCCCCCCCTCCTCCTCCTCTCTCCTCCCCCTCTCCCTCGGTTCCCGCTCTCCGTGTGGAAGTCGATTAATGGAGAGGAAGCATGCTGCCAAATCATGTCCAGATGTCTAGAAGATGTTTCAAATATGTTAGAAACATGTAAAAACCATGTTTACAACCTGTTTAGAACATTTTCCGACATTTTCGACACATGTTAAATTCAAAGATCGGGCTGTTAGGGTGTCCGTCGTCGTGGAATCCACAACGCTCTCCTCCCGCCTGGGAGGTCTGCCCCCCCCCCCCCCCGCGGGAGGAGCTCAAGAGCGTGCGGCGGGATCTGGACGCCGCTCGCGGCGACGTGGCGGCCCTCCAGTCCTGGCGCCGCGCCGCGGAGCGGGAGACGGAGGCCGCCCGCGCCCGCCCGGAGAGGACGCCCGCTGGCGAGGGGGGGGGCAAGGGCAAGGGCTAAGTCGGGCCTGTCCCTCTACAGGAGGGGTATTCAAAAATAGTTACAAAATGGTCTGGGGACGATTTTCGTTATATATATATATATATATATATATATATATCTATATATATATATGTGTATTTGAGTGTATTTGGAACAATTTTCAATTTTTGTTGCTAAAGTCGGCCTGTAGGGGGACAGGCCCGTCTTAAGGCAAGGGCGGGTGTTGGGGCGACGGAGAGGGGAACAGTTCAGCGCACGCGGGGGAGGAAAGGTCCTGGGGCAAGGGACGAGCTGGACGATGCGGCAGGGCAGGGCCAGCGCGCGACAGGAGGCCGAGCCTCGTCGGCCACGCGTCGCCACCTGGAGGCCTGCGCCTCCGCAGACACACCGGCTGGATCGACCAACGCCGTGCCATTGCTTTTGACATTGTCTGGCGAAGCGTTTCCACGATTTGACAGGGCAGGAGGAGGAGGAGGACGAGGAGGAGGAGGAGGAGGAGGAGGAGGAGGAGGAGGAATGTCGCGGTGTTGGGTCCGTTTCTGGAGCCCCGTCGTGGTGGGCGCGCACGCCGCCGCGCGGGAGCGGCAGTCCTCTCGGCGACGCGCGGATGGTGTGCGCTGCGGCACGGGGCGCAGGCATCCTCGAGCGGTTCGAACAAACATGAAGTCAGAGCCCCGAATCATCAGGGGTAACTCGGGTCAGGGCTAACTCGGGTTCGTTGTTTCGGGAATCCAAGCCCGAGTTACCCCGGACCCGAGTTACCCCGGATAACTCGGGCGCCCAATGAAGGCGGCCGTGCTTGTCCCTACCTAGGTTTTTTCTTCGTTTTCGGGCCCTCAGGGGCCCTCCATGGCCCCTCGACCATCATGAAGCAACCCCGGACGACACATTGGTGGGCCCGTTGGTTTCCAGACCTGTTTTTTTGCATACTAGTTTCAATTGAACTTGTTTCTAGAACAAGAATGTCAATTCTTTTCAGGATCACACCCAGGGAAGGCTGGGCTGTCCATGCTTTGATCGATCCTTCGGTTCGCGTCGAGTTTGCCGTGCAGACTCTTCGTGCAGACCATGCGCGTGGCATCGGCCGTTTCGATCATGCATGATGCGCCTTCACGGGTAGGCCAAGCCCGAAACGTTTGGTTTCCAGTCTAGATCTTGGGTTTCGGGGCTGAACAGTACGATGGCGAGGAGGAAGAGCAGGTTGGAGTACCGTTCTTGGGCTAAACACCAACATATCCTGGCAGGGCTAGCCCATTGGGTCTTGTTTTCAGCAAAATTGGCCTCTCTCCTCCATCCTTCCTTTCCTCTCGATCCCCCCTCGTCCTCCCAACTTGTCTTCCTTGTCCTCTCGTCCCTATCCTTCAGTCTTCCTCCTCCCTCTTCCTCTTCGCTTTCCTCCTCCTCCTCCTTATCTTTTTCTTTCCCCCATGTCCTCCCTTCTCCTCGCTCCTCCAACTTGAGGGTGCGCCGCCGAGGACGACGACGACGACCCCCGCCAACGACGACCACGTGAACGACGCCAAAGCCAACGACGACGCTGGCGAAGGCGACGACGACGACGAGGGGCAGAAGGGGGCGAAGGGGTATGAGGAGGACTACCGGCTGCATGTAAGCGTGACCCTTCGCTGGAGTTAGTTTTGGATTTTTGGTGCGCGATTCTCGAAGGGCGCTGTGGAGCCAAGCCCAAGCACGCATGCCGCCACTGACGCACCGCATGCGTTCATCGGCAGGTCTCCCATGTCGCCCCCGATTCTTTGGATCTTGTTGCGCGTGGTAGCGCATCGAATGGAGCAGGTGCGCTGGCGCAGTTTCAGGGGCTTGCGGCCAAGGCGCTCCTGAATTTCAACACGTTTTTACCATCTGTTCCGCCCGAGGGGCTTCCGAAGGCCTCCACGGGACACGCGGGAGACCTCCGACGGTCATCGGGGGCCGTTCTAATCGTTGTTCATCGCTCGTCTCTCATCGTGTGTGTCCGTTGGGGACCTGTTTTTGGAGCCGCGCGCCAGAGCTCACCCCTGCAATGCCATCCGCCGGAGCTGCGGATGATGTGCTGCAGATTCCCGAAGGTGGCCCCCGCAGGGGCGGCGGCGGCGTGCAGGACGACGAGGGGACCGCGGCGACGCCGCCCGCGCACGGCAGCGGCGCCAGACGGCGACCTCTACGACGCCACCCTTAAGTCCGGCGTGTCCCTCCACGGGAGGAATGTTCAAAGTAGTCAAAAGATAGTCTGAGGATGATCTTTGGAGCAGTTTTGAATATTTTTCTGTATGCTCGAATCTTTTTTGACGGCTCTTGATTTTCCGTCAAAAATCCGACTGCAGGGGGATATGCCCGACCGAAGCGCTGCCCGACGACGCCCGGCGAGCCTCCCGAGGAGCGCGCCCTCGACGCCCGGCAGCCCGCCCTCCCGCCTGCAGGGCGCGCGGCGGGTGCCGTAGGCCGCGGGGCGCTGCCCAGCCGCCGAGGCCGCGGCCGCCCTCGTCGGCGTTCGAGAGGGGGCTACTTGTGAGTCGGGCCTGTCCCTCTGCAGGGGGAATCTTCAAAGACAGTTTTTTGGTTGCGCTGACAAAAATAGTCTGGGAACGATATCGTTCTAATGTTTTTCTGTCTGGACTAGTTTGGAGTATTTGTTGGGGGCATGTTTCATGTTTCGTCCACATTCCGCCTGTAGGGGGGACACGCCCGGCCTAAATCTACTTCAGAAACTCCTTCCTGTTTAGAAGATGGCGTTTCTCAACAGCGCGACCGTCCCCGGCGGACTCGAGCTGGACCCCAAAATGGGCTGCGGAACCGGCAGGCAGAGACTCCGGCGAGAAAGGCCCCCATGACGTCGCAGATGCATGAAGGTTGGCGGATATACCAGCTTTTGAAGAGTTTTCACATACAGATTTTGAACGATTTCAAACAGCCGTATGTTTATTCCTATTCATATATGTATTTTTGTAGGACCGCGGACCCTGGAAAAAGCGCACGCACACACACATTCACATTCTCATTCACATTCACATTCGCATTCACATCCACATTCACATTCGTACACATTCACATTCAGATTCACATTCAGATTCACATTCACATTTACATTCACATTCACATTCACATTCACATTCACATTCACACACACATTCACACACATTCACACACACACACACACACGCCCTGACCCCAGAAACACCGCCAGGCCTCACGGGCAACCCTCCAGACGACCCGGGAGAATCCAACGAGAGCCCGACGACGGCCCCAGACGGCCCCAGGCGTTCCGACGCGCTCCCGAAACGACCCCAGATTGCCCCAAGACGGTCCACAACGACCCGGAAAAACCGTAAAACAAAAAAATCGTTCGAGAGCATTCCCACTACGGGTTGTTAGTTAATTTTGGGGCAAGACGGCGGTCTTCTGGGCGTCCGAAGCCTTCTGGGAGGCTCGGGCGTCGCCCCACCAACATCCGAAAGGGCCTCCAGGCAGTCCAAGAGAGCCTCAATATTGCACAACAGTGTTCCAAGATGGCGTAAGAGAGCATGACGGCCCAAGTGTAGGAAAAAGTCCCTGGCCAGGCCGGTGGGGACACCTGCAGTTGTCCTCTTCTTTCGCCTCTCTGTGCGTGACCCTCAAGTCGCACGCGTCTCTGTTGAGTGTCCTGCGGTCGGGTGCCCTGCGCAGGCTCATTCCACAGGTGGTGGGTATATGCTGACTGGCTGTCTTGCTCGCTATCAGCCAGCCGTTTTTGCTTTGCCCTCCGGGCCATGTGACCATCGGTGCGTTTTTGCGCATTCTGAGTTGTGCGTGCGCTGCGCCACGCGAAGGACTGCGCAATTGCTTCAGGTGGCGTGACGGATATCTTTGTCCGTTTTTAGCTGTGCAGCGCCAGTCGAGGGACGGCGCAATAACTTCAGATGGCGGGGCGGTCCGTTATCATAATATTGTCTGCCAGCGATCTTATCGAATGATACCGTGTATTTCACTTTCGGTTCAAGACGTTAGAGCACGACCTATGCAACACATCCTCCTCATGACTCCTATTTTGATGCCTGCGTCGCACATTTGACGCCTAATTTGATGATCACCGTGCGTTCTTGAAGCATGAGGTGGCTCACGTTATACGTTTGGCGCTATCTAGTTGACCAGTTGTTATCTCAACTTCGATCAAGATCAGACTTGAATTCGGGTCTACATTGTCCTTCGATGCGTTTCCCATTCTCAAGGTTATTTCTCTAATTCTCTCGCGTCGTCTTTCGTCGAGGGGGAGGTTTCGCTTCCCGCCTCCCCGCAGGTGCACGTCGACGCCTTCCTCTGGTCGCTCCCTGTTGCCCTTCTGCTATGTTCGATCAATCCAGTGCTTCTCTCCCGCCATCCACGTGTCCTGTCTGCTTTTTCTTCGCCCTTCTGTTCGCGCATGCTGTCGCCATGAACGCATCACTTGTGGAACGATTGCTGGGAGCTGCGTCGCGCCGAACGGCTTTTTTGCCATACCTTGAGCCCGCGCGCATTGCTTGCGGATGGAATCTCATGACCGATTGCGCAATGCCAACGCCCTTGCAGAGTTGCATGATGCGCGGGCCCAGACCTGCAGGCTGGCGACCCCTACTTCGGCTTGCGATTTCGCCCCCTTCGAAGCCCGACGGCCGAGGCATGGTGGGCGGCCGCGCAGGACTGGCGCTTCGCCCCCCTAATCGAGAATGTAGCCCCGAGCTGGCGGGGGCGCCCGGTGCCCAGGCATTTGCTACAGCTCACCTCTACCAGGCTCGAGAAGGGATTCGTGGATCAGAGATGCTGAACAGACGGGGGTTGAAGAAGTCCTTGCCCGTTCGGACCCCGCGCGAGTCGCGCGTCGCGCGTCGCGCCGCCCGAGCGGGGGCCAAGTCTATCCTGCGCGCCAAAAAATCCGAGACGTCTACGGCGCAAACCTATAAGTGCCCGCAGCCAACCCGTGACCTTCTGATCTGTTTTGCGGTCGTCGCAGGCGCGCTCGGGTCACTCTGCCTCGCGGAGCTGGCAGCGTCCACAACTGCTTGTTGAGTTCTCGCGGTGGGCCCCGCAGCAGCTCCGCGCAGGTCCCTATCCTTTATCTCCTGCAACGTGCGGGCGCGGATGTTCGTCTTCTTCTTCTTCTTCTTATTATTCTTCTTCCTTTTCTCATATATATTTATAATCCTCCTCTCTTCCGGCCCCGCAGCCTCTGGGTGGTGCGGGAATTGCCTTCCCGCGTATCCTCGGAGTCGGGTCCGCTCCCTTCCTCTCGCGTGGGTCGCAGCCTCGCAAACAGGCACCTCTCACCGCGGTGCATTAACAGACATGCTCGAGGTGGCCGGAGACCCGCCCTCGTCGATAAGAGCAACCCATTTTGGGCGGGGCCGGCGCGCCCTTAATCGTTAAGAACCGACCGTTGCGCGCGGCGGCAATGCCCCCCCTTTATACTTTTCTTCCCTCTTGTTCCCCCTCTCTCGCGCGGTCTCGCGTCGGGGGTGCGTGGGCGGCATTGTCGGTGCCCCCGCTCCTCAGGGCAGTTGAGCTTCGAGGAATCCAGTGGTTGAGCTCGCATCGTTCGTTCTGCCCCCCCGCAGGCGTGCGTCGAGAGACGCGCGTCGACGTGCTCGAGCTTTTGCGCGCTATCGCAATCCTGCTATCTTTCCCTGTCGCTACCGTCTGGTGCGCATCTTGGGCTACGCACTGCAGAGTGGACATCCCAATTTATACACATGCTATTTTGACGTCGTGCGCACGCGTCAGATCTCCAATCATCTCACCCAGCCAGATGTTTTGCCCCGCAGCGCAGACCGCGCATTAGCAGGTTGTTGTCTCTTGTCTCGTGCGTTCTGCCGCGCTGGCTCAGGCGACCACGCCTCGAGCAATCCCTCTCACAGCTCAGACCTTGCCCAGCCTCTCACAGGTTGCTGTCGCGTCTTTTGGCGGCGACAGCAGGTGGCGTCAGAACTGATTTTGCGAAGGGAAATCTTGGTTGAAGGCATCTTTGGAGCTGCCTGCCTGCATTTGTGAGGAATCGGAAATATGGTTGCTCGCACCGTGCCTGAGGCAAGTCCCCCTCTTTGCTTCGTCGGAAGAGAGGCCAGGTATCCACCTGTGGCGGGAGATCCTTCAGCTGTCCGCCGTAACCGTGATGGCTCAGACAAGGTGTCTGAATTGCACATTCGTGTCTTAGCACGCAGAGCAATCTGATTCTACGCGTCGTCCGAGGGAAGATGTCTTTCTCTCCGAGTGACGTCGCGGCGATGATCGCCACCGCCGCCAGTGGAGCCTTCAACGGCGCAGGTGCCAATCAGGTGCGTGAGTGGGTGGACTTCGTCATCAAAGTCGACGTCGACCCCGCCGAGAAGCACGATCTCTTCCACTGCGTGTCTGTCGCACGGCTGCTGGCCGAGACGGGGGGCAGCATCGCGCCAGCCGACTTCGAAGACCCTCGCATGCGGGACATGATCGAGGCGAGCATTCCCGCTCACGCCACCCCGTATGCCAGCGAACAGGACGACCCGTGGAAGAGCTGGAAAGTTTCGCCGGCACAGATTGTCTCGGCACTCAAGGTGCAGGGGGCGCGCGCGAAGAAAGCCTCGCCAGGGCCATCGGCGCCACCAGAGGTGGCCCACAACAACAAAGAGCTTTCCGGCATGGCTGAAGCAGTGAAGCAGTTTGCGGAACTTCAGTCGCAGGCGCTGCAGAAAGGGAAGCCGAAAAGGGCTCAGTTTCAAGTTGCAGGAACGGAAACTCGAGCTGGGCATGCAGCATTTCGCCAAGGATGCACTCCCGTCAGAGGAAGTCCTCGCGAAGTTCGAGGCGGCGGGGAAGATCGCGCACGACAAGGGCAGGCCTTGGGTCGGGTCCGCTGAGGGCGAGGATCTGCGCGATCACCACCGCCCAACTTGGAGCCGGACTCCTATGATCGACGCTGTCGTGGGGGACGGCTCTTACGAGGAGCGGGTGAAGCAGAGCGCTGCCGCCAAACGGAACATGGCGTGGACGGACAAAGTCGACTACGCTGGCTTTGCCACGTTCATGGGCCACCTGCACGAGTGTGGATTCAAGGTGATCCTCGCCAAGGCATGCAGCATGGCTGATTTCTTTGCGTACGCCCACAACATCGTGCGCATCGCCGAGGAGTACGGTGGAGTCAGGACAGCTTATCAATACGATGTTCTCCAGAGGAGGGCCATGGCCAGGGCTCTGGAGGAAGACGTCGTGGATTTGGCGCCTTATTTCGCCAAGATCGATCGTGGAAACCTGGCTGACGCCAAAGACAAAGTTAACGAAAGCTTCACGGAGGCTGGCCGGGCTGCGACAGCTAAGGGGCAGCAGCCGAAGGGTCAGCCCAAAGGCTGTGCCAAGGGCGTTGCCGACAAGGGCGGCAAGGGGAGCAAGAAGAGCTCCGACGGCACTGAGGCTGACAACCGGCCTGTCCGGTCGCCGGCCAAGCGCCCCGAGGGCGCGG